TCAAAGTCATTAGGCATGTACAAACGTTAGGAAAATTGAGGTGTGATGGAAAAAATTCTGTTCACAGCTAAGAAATAAAGACACCCAAAGTACTTGACAACACGTAATATGTACGCAATGCAATTACAAATCACTTCAAATTTTTCGGTGGAATAACACATAGAGTATTAAGTGATATGAATTTAGTAAGAATTAATAAAGTTGAATGAGTGCCAACTAAATTGTTTATATGTTACAGGAATGTTACATAAATAGTAATAATGACAATAATAATAATATCGAAAACAATACAAAGATACATATCTTGATTATTAATCTCACAACTTCACTTAACATATAATCTTATTCAATTGAACATTGAATACTAATCATTTCAATATTAAAAAAACTGTTATTATACAAACAATCGTAAATCTATATGACTCATTTGTAAACGATGTGTTGCCTTGGTCATTCTTTTGGCTTATTAATTTAGCTTTATAGCTATAGAACCTGACAAGAATTTATTGAAAAGAATATGTCCAGCTGACGAGTCCCAAATAAGACGAGACGCGCGTCCTAGATTCCACTCCTAGCCACTATCCATCTTTGCTTAAAATGCTTGTGAATTATGGCAATATCGATGCAATACGCACAGTATGAACATATGCTAATTAGAGACTGAACAGTTGCAGTCCTAACACATGGATGGGAAGATTCAAACAAACAATACTAAATGAATTTAAGAATATTCTTTGTTTATATAGTTTATATTCAGTTTTAAAATTAAAAAAAAGAATTTATTATATATCATTTACTTCCTTGTAATTCATGTTCGTTTGCCCGAATTATTATTGAATCTCATAATTAACATACAGTTGAATAATATCCACGTGAAATAAAAAGGTCATCTAAAGAATCCTTAAAAAGTACAAGTAAATATTTTACCGGCTTCAATTTCAATATTTATTGACAATAATCATTCAGAAGGGGTTTTGTGGAGATCTAGTAATTTCATAGTTGAAAGCATGAGTCACTTGAAGGACGACCGTCCAGTGCTTCCAGGTTTTCCATGGTGATCTAGCTTCAATTGACTCATGCTTTCAACTATGAAAATAATCATTCAATCAAATAAATTCAGATATAGAAAATATTAACTTTACTTAGTATTTCATGCAATTGGTTCCCTTTATGAATTTAAATAAAGCAAGAACAAACATTGATGCAGAATAGTATGAATTCATATTATTTCGAGGTTTCTCGTCAGCTGCTTACAAACCAAACCACACTATCTTCATGTAAAAATTCTATCACAATTTTGGTTTGTAAGCAGCTGACGAGAAACCTCAAAATAATATGAATTCATACTATTCTGCATCAATGTTTGTTCTTGCTTTACTTAGTATTGTTTGTTTGTATCTTCCCATTGATGTTTAGGACTGCAACTGGTCAGTCTCTTACTGTGCGTATTGCCTCGATATAGCCTTAATTAATAGAAAATATTAGTTTCCATAAAGTCATTTTCAACCAGAAATCTCTTGCTATCTTCTGTTAGTTTATTTTCAATGTTTTAGATTATTTAAAATATCGAATAATTTGTTAGTTTATACACCTCTAGAATTATTTTTCCTGGTTAGAGTTTATTAACAGTTGTCTACGCAAAATACTTCAGACCCGTTGGACAGACATTATCAGCAACATTCTACTGTGAAAGAGAACAAACCAGGTTTCAGCGGAGGAAGAAATCCGGAAGAATCGCAGGAAGTGGATAGGACACACATTGGGGAAAGCGCCCAACTGCGTCACAAGACAAGCCCTCACATGGAATTGTGAGGGCCAAAGGAGAAGAGGAAGATCAAAGAACACATTACGCCGAGAAACGGAAACAAACATGAGAAAAATGAACAAAAATTGGATAGAACTATAAAGTAAGGCCCAGTAGAGAATGGGTTGGAGAATACTGGTCAGTGGCCTATGCTCCATTGTGGGCAGTAGGCGTAAGTAGGTAAATAACTAATGCACCTCTAGACTGGAAACAGCTAGTAATATGAATATCCTTATTCTGATATGCTGAACAAACATTTTACCTCACACATTTTTCGTCTTTTAAATAGTTTGTTTTGTTAATTTTTTTTTGCTGGTGTCAAAATTATCATTTTTATAAATTATACATGATGATGGATAAAAACGAATATTCGTAATAGAACTTCAGCAATATTTTTATATGCATCAAGATCACGTGAGCTAGAAATGTAATGGTATTAGGACTATATGCAGAAATTTAGTCAATCATTGCTGGATGCAGTCAATCAGATCCTCAGAAAATATCTATACATGTAAGAGTCTGTCACTAGTTATTGTAGTGATTACACGGAAAATCAATTAAATAAGAATGTCATTTCATTCCAATTATCTATTAAGTACCATGTGAATCTTGACACTTATAAGCTTGTTCCATAAAATCACTTCAGCTGTGAAATGCGGTAAATACACTAACGCCTAATGAAGGCAGGTAATTGTCTACTAATTATGATCAGTTTCACGTCGTAAGTCGGAGATAAGATATTGGTTTCCAATGTGACGGGTACCTAATACATTGCTCATCCAAGGATACATTAAGGTAACCCGTATTTTTAAATGAAGATTGGCCTCAATTATCTTACACTCAAAACCAACTGTTTATGTAAACCAACCAATCATATATATATATGCGCTTCATGAGGAATTTAGTCATAATAAATTAGATATACATGTTAGTGCTACTTCTGGATTCCTATGCTAAAATTAAACGAAATTCCATGTCACGATAAGAGTTATTCTAGAAGATTACTAACCAGAGGTTTATTGTCTCGTCAGTCGTGAAGTGAAAACAAACATATTCCATTGTTTTATGTAAAACATATTTTCCCCATTAATTAACATTCTACACATCTTGTAACAGCCTGTTTACTAAATAGCTACAATTAGTATTTTATTTTAAATGTCGTGTAGTTACGAGAATTGAATCTGACAATGTAAGAAGCCCACTAAGTCACTAAGCAACATAACGACCTTACGGTCAAGAAAACTTCCTTTCTTATGATACCCTTCACTAGAGCTGAACAGTAGTGATATGACGCGATAAAAAGATAAGATTGTTTTGGTCACTATTAATTCATCATGAATTATGGCTGGGGTGACAGGTGTGAACTTCGTTCAGTGTGGCGTTTAAGGTCAATATTCTTCGTATCTATTTAGTATAAACTTTGTTTTCTTTCATTTTTCGTTCACTGTGACAATTATATTTGTTGTATCAATTCAGGTGAACTATATTTAGTTAGTGTTTTTTTATGTGTTATCATAAAGTGTGTTTAGAAATTAGTGTATAAATGATTGTATTTTGGTCTTATGATGACGTGATTTTGAAAGTTACTTGGGAGAGTGTTTTTGGAGGGTCAATAAATCTTGATTTTACTAGTCTTTCGTCTTCTTACTTTGCGTTCTGGATATTGTACTAATTCCTAGTTCAAAATATAAGCATTTGTTTCAAAGAATTGCAGTGGTTCTCGATGGTCAAGTATAAGCAGTAAGGCTGCGGACTGAACAGAGGCGATACGTACATAGGAGAGACAAAACGTAGGTAAACAGCAACTGCCAAAAATCATAAATATACTAGTCGTAATCACGCAAAATAATACTTCTACGTCATTTTAAAGCAGATAACCTCAATATCGTTTATAGATTTCATTTAAGCACCTCGTAATTACTTAGTTTTTAAACATTCATTCAAAAAAGTAAAGTATTTTCTAATTAAATAAAACTTCTTATACAAATTTACAGCAAGAAAACAAAGTAATTTTTGTAGACTGAATTTTTGTTAAGAGATCATGCGATCTATAATAATCTCTTAATTATATATGATTGGTAAGTAATTTTTACATCAGAGCGTGCACAAAGTGATCGATTTCACACGTAATACAGCACACGATAATAATTTCAAATTCACAGTGGCTCTTAAACATAGGAATTTAGATAAAAAAAATTGTGAGTCGACTAATAAGTCTGTAAATGTTCACTGAATGAGATCCATTTGAGATATATTTTACGAGTTCTCAAATTATGTCTCCTCTAGAGCTGGTTAGTATAAGTAGTTAGAAGACTAAGAATGGTCAAACAAAGACAAAAGTCCTTGATATTAACGTCTGGTAACCACAGCCGTATGGTGAGATGGAGGCTTCTTAATCTGAGTCTATAAGATAACAGTAATTAAGGTTTTAGTCCTCAATAATATTTATACTCTTAGGGTATCCATTTTTTATCCTACCTTAATGCTTGGATTTATTGTTTTTTAATACTTCTACTCTTCAATCGTATTCTCTCTTTTGCAGTTATATATATATATATATATATATATATATATATCATCCTTTTGACTTTCCTATCACATTGTGCTTCTATGATACATCTGGACATTAATCAAAAAAATTCTCGTACAAGATTCGGTATTATCTAAGATCAACTAATTTTCGTCTACCAAGAACCGGGTAAACTACAGTAACAATATATATATATATGAAATATTTACATGTGTTAACCATCACATGATTATATTTTAGTTAGACATAAGAAAAAAAAACAATTTAGTTAAAGGAAAAATCCTAGTGACACTATTATGATCACATGTAGTTCTTATCCGTTTCTTGTAATCGTTTGTATATTAGAACAAACCCTGAATAATGGTAATCATGATAAGATTGTAATTAGAGTTAAGATGGTGGTTAGAGGTGGTCAACAGGAAACCCTGGACCCGGATTTCATGCTACTTGGCACTCGTCAGCAAGGTGTACCTATAATCTTGAGGGAACTAGTACTCCCTGACAGATTAGATCACGTGTCACTCAGCTTCACAGTCAGGGACGTTATCACTGAGCTATTCGGGCCGTGACCGACCTCCTGTAGGACTGAGATAGCATTCGATCAGCACTAAGAAGGACTTGATACGCATGACATTAATCACCACCTAGTGTTCAATCAATTGTAGTTAGAGTTATTTCATAAATTTTTTTAATATTTAACTCGAGAAAATATAATTATCAATTTTATCAAGAAAATAAATAAAAAGTAGAATGGAGGAAAAAAGGTTAACATATGTAAAAACAATAGACATTTACTCATAAACATAAAATGGGAAAATAGATTGACAATTTAAGCAAAATAATGAATGAATTTATTAACTGAACAACATAAGTGGATATGTACTTGGATATACGTACCCAATGTTATATTTAAGTGTTTGTATATACACATAAACAAATATAACACAAATATTCTGTATAATATCGATTAAGGTGTACTCAAGAGACCATTGACATTAAATATAGTAAATTACAGAGAAGGAATATCAACCTATAAATGACGGCAGTTGTACTGTTGATGTTGAGGGATACTGAAAAATATTTGTTTTGTTGATAAAACCAAACTGAAAAAATGTGTGTGTGTGTTTCTGGTTGTTTCATCATGGTCATGGATGACAGATATTATTTTATCGAAGATTTATTGCAGATGTGATCAATGTCATGTTTTTAATATGAAATTATATAACGTTTCAAAATGAATCAATCCCAAAAATTGGCGCTTTTATCATAAAATATTGAAGAATATTATTATAGTAAACTATTGTAGAAAATGAATTGTAACTATTTACATATATTTTTTATGGTCATAAGTTATAATTCCTATATTATGATTATTCACAATACTGATAATAGTAGTATATTCTGTTTGTTCAGTGGTTGATTGGTTTGAGTAAAGTGGTATAATAAGATGAGTGCAACCACTGCACTTGTGCTTAAAACGAATGAAAACAATGAAATTTAAGAAAATTTGATATTGATAAGTTCGTCTAAAGTGAGATATTCACATTCTTCAATGTTTTTTAATTTGATTATCCACTATCTTTACTTGTTATGTATCTTAAAATATGCCCTGAATGAAATAACGTCACAGTTGATGGTAACTTTTCTTTCTCGGGATTTCGTGGTGACAATTTTCACTGACAAAGTATTAGTATGAAACAATGTCAACATGTACAAGATAAGTTTAACTGGTATATTACGATTCGACTGAATAAGAAAGTATGGAGGAAAGAAGGAAAGTGAATAATAGAGGAGATAAGGTTTTTAAACATCAAGATGACTTAAATGCATACATTAAATTTTATGTGATCAGACGAAGAATACTCATAAAGGAAACAGAAGACTTTAAAATTTTTTGTTAAACTTGACTACATAATCTAGTTTCGTGATTTTCATCGGTTGATAAATGAGATGTCAATAATAATGGTAAATCTTCCATAGAACTGGGTTGACCATTAATAAAAGTATCACCAATCATGACATTATTATTATTACAACTACTACCGGTTATTCTATTTGACTGATTATTTTTATTATTATTATTATGTATATCTGTTAGTACATTGTCAATCATTTCAGGAATTATTGATTGACCGACAGACGTATTTGGATACAGAGAGTATATATTGGAATTATTATTGTTTGTGTTATTATTATTATTTATAGAGATATTTCCATGTCTCAAATAACCTGAATTATTCATAAATGTATTAGATGATTTCGGTAAATCGACAGTGTCTACTTGATTTTTGCCAACATTTTGTAATTGATTTTTTAACAATAAACTAGAACGAAATGTTGTAGGGAATGCATTATCATATGGTCCACTACCATAAGTAATTGTACCTACTTTATCTTTGTCGATCGATTTTTCGTCAAATGAACTACCCTCTGTTGTAATGGTATGTAATAAGCTTGATGTATTTTGATTGTAAGATGTAGTTCCACTAATTGAATTAATATCATCTTTAAATGTTACTCTTGGTCCATTTGAAGATGAAGATGGTATATTGGTTGAAGTTAATGAATTTCCTGTATTCTGTACATTCGAATTCATTAAACCGCATTCCTCAGGTGATAATACTGTAGTATTTTGATGTGACCGTAAACACATCACCTCGTTTGACGCACCAATTCTTGGGAGATTCCCATGTGATTCAGTTGCTGTAGTTGCTCGTGAATCTGTGGATGATTGATTCGGGAAACGATTTATTAATGAAAATGAATTTGAATGTGCAACTTTTGGTGATGTGAAACCGAATCCTGGATACGATGGACCTCCATGAATAGAAATTTTATCTATAAAGAACAAATGAAGGGTATTACTGAAAAATATGAAAAGCATATAACGAAAGTGATAGAGTAGGAAAGTACCTTTTTCATGAGTTATTAAAGGATTATGGAAAATTACAAAATTTCCTACTTCTCATTATATATTTGACCATAACTTCGGTAGACAGGACCTATCATTCTAAATTGTTTGTGAGAGCAAATCAAATCTACAGAAAATTGTATGCACACATCTACTTTGAATTTAAGAACGGCTGAGTATATGAAACATTAAGGTCTGTGTTTACGGAAACGGTATGTAGGATCACTTTCCTTTTCATGATCCAAGCTTCCTTCGTATTTTCCCATTTTTATCCATACCTTAATTATTATCCTTTCCTCGACTTATAGTTAAATTATCCTTAACAATTTTGACTCGTTACATTCAAACGTATTTCATTAAAATCACTGTATTTGTTTTATCATTAACGTCAACGATATTTTTCAAATTCAAATTCTTTTAATGACCTTCGTTATTAACCTTAGTTGATTAATTTTGTTACGTCTGAAGGTCATCAGATGTTGCGATGAAGAAAATGTTGGTCCATTTCAATTGTCAACTTCTATATTGAATGTAAAGCTATCCAGAAAGCCACATCTTCTTGATCTTATATTAGTCTGTGGATTATTAACGTCAAAATGCTGTGTTTCAGCCGCCATTCTATTGAGTCAGTCATAGAACGAGTTTGCGTTCGAACAAACCCTATCGTTTCCTAATTATCAAGAACCATAGTTCTGTACAGAACATTATCTCAAAATATAACACACTCTTGCTTACAATGACCTTCGTTTATCTGCCTAACGAACAACCAGATCGTAACCCTTCATTTTGTGGTTGTATATAAGGTTTGTCTGTATTTTCTAAATATCCTGATAATTCACTTTCCAATCTATTTTACTTATTCTGAGTAAAACCTCATCTATGAGTCGTATTCATTAGAAACAGGCTTATGAAAATACAAATCTATTCACCATATTAATAGTTGCATATTAATACAATCGTACAATAAATTGTCAAGCTAACTTTTCTTCTGTGAAATGTTTGCCTCTAAAAAGACAAGTGTGATAACAACAAAAAGCCAGCTCTATTAGAATCTTTTAGAACTGAATAAGTTTTTATTTTTCAACGCTACGTGATAGGTCATTAATAACTGTTTTCTTCACACTTTGTGATGTCACGATAAAAGACAGTAAAAATATTTTCATGCTACTGAATTGTTTATCAGTAGAGCGAAATTAAATCACGATATTTCTAAGCATTGGGATAGAGATTTTCCAAGCAATATATTTACCTGTAAGGGACTTTACACTGGGTTGTATGTCATTTCGAGAACATTTAAGTATCTTCAACTGAAATTAGTTCCATATCTTTATTACGGTATTTTCTGATGTTACTATCAATACAGGTTTAATCTACAGTCACGCTCAATTTTAGTTTCGTTATTCGTCCTTGATGTTAATCCCAATTATTCATTTATTCATTAATTATACAAATATCAAAATTGTCCTTTAACCTTTTGTAATTTCTCATTATTGATTGAATTTATTACCTATTAGTTTATTGAGAACTCTGAAGTTGAAATTTACTTGAGTGTAATTGCTTCAGTAGTTTGAAATTTAATTCAAAGCTAGTTGTTTACAATTTCTAGCTAAAAAACCATAGTCTTAGTTTAGAAGACTATTTTGTTCTACAGATAAGCACATGTAACACACTTCCATATTCAAATCTATTTAAGTGAGTTCCGGTGATACGCCTATTATATATTGAATAATTCTAAACCTAGTATTTATAAGTCTACAAAAGTAGGCATTACAATCAATAAAAGAAAAAGGACTGCTTTCAGAAAAATTGGAAACACTTTCAGTAAATGGTTTAAATCGGTTTCCTGAAACAACATGACATATATTGATCTCTATATTTTGTCTCGACAAATATTCATACTGATAATGATAATTAAAAGACTGTACATAGATGCTAGTTCACTGGATCCTCTGTGATAAAAATAACCAGTAGTTCTTACAACAAAATTATATTTTACCAATAAATAAACATAGTCCAAAAGATATTCTTGTTCTTGAATATGGATGTAACATGTAACTTACTTGCGGGTTGTATTGTACTCATTGAATTTTCATCATCTTCTACTCCACCATGACCTGATGAACTGGATGATAGTTGAGTATTGTTAGTTGCGTTATCATTGTTAGAATTATTGTTAAGATATCCTGAATATAAGTTCAGTGTAGGATATTGGAGCTGACTCGTTGATGATGATATTGTAACTGGTGTCATTGTTGGTAATCCAATACATTCATTATGATTACCATTATTGTTAATACTATTCCCATTATTGGTGCTAGAGTTAAGAAGAATCGGTTGACCTATATTAGAAAAATTATTTGAATTCAGGGCACTTTGAAGACAGACATAGTTATTCCCACCTAAAGCATAAATACGAAATGTTTTACTGTAATCATGTTGAGTTTTAAAGAAGAAACACTTTAGGTACTATGCATAACAAAGAGATAGCTGAGAAGAAAATGATTAAGTTTATATTTGTAGGTGTGAAGACGTAAGTACTTTATATAAATCCGATTGTGAAAAAAAAATTCCATATTGTAATAATCTTTTAGAATTTGATATTTTGCAAAATTTAATAACTTTTCACATACTTTTCATCCACATTTTTACGGTTGAATCATTGACATCAGTTTTAGTTCATAATTTAACTTCAGGAATCGATTCACTGCGGAGTGAAGTTAGTTTTTATGATCTGTTGATGTCTGTTAAGATACTGTAGTGAACAAGAACACGGGTTGGGACAATCGAATGTATTTGAGCACAAATTACAGACTATCTCACTAAATTCTGATAACCATACAGTCAACAGTTAATTTGCAAAATTAAAACTAATTGTTTCAATCTTAACTAATCCTTCTGCAAATATCAGTCCGTCTTCTCTGATTTCATTGTTCATGCATTTTCGTACCGATCGCTCTTCATTCCTGTTCTTTCCTAATCGATCTTCCGCCAAAATACATTCTATGTCTGACTATCACCATATACTACTTATGTGGATATATGTTGACCACAATACTATTAAAAACTATCATATGATTCTTACTTAGCAATGTTATCATTAGGAATATGATTGATAAACTATGTTGGCGGTTTAAGTGACCTACTTATAAGTGTAATAAAACATTGATAGAAATCTACTGAAAAAAGCTGTGCTACATATTCTTTGAATTAAAAGGCTCATCATAATTGGACAGAATAATTCATGATTAATTATATTACCGTTTCTGACTTTTCGTGAATTAATGTAAGCCACTTCTTAAGAGTAAATTAATGACCGAAATAAAATAAGCACAAGTTTGAATAATACATAGGAAACAAGGCAGAATACTTTTAGTACAATCAAAATCATAATAAGTCTGAATATGTTAATGTCAAGTTATTGTTTGGTCACTATTGTGAGAATCTTCAATACGAACGTCAACACAGTCCTACTGTACGGAGCTGAAACGTAGAGAACTACTACATCCATCATCAAGAAGATACAAGTATTTATAAACAGGTGTTTACGCAAAATACTCAACATTCACTGGCCGGATACTATCAGCAGCAGAGTTTTATGGGAGAGGACAAACTAGCTTCCAGCTGAAGAGGAAATTAAGAAAGGACGTTGGAAGTGGATCGGACATACATTAAAGAAATCACCGAACTGCATCACGAGGCAAGCCCTAACTTGGAATCCTGAAGGGAAGCGGAAAAGAGGGAGGCCAAAGAACACATTACGCCGGAAAATAGAAGCAGACATGAAAAGGATGAATTTTAACTGGAAGGAACTGAAAAGGATTGTCCAGGACAGAGTTGAAAAGAGAGAGTGCTGGTGTGCGGCCTATGCTTCTCCGTGAGGGGTAACAGGCGTAAGTAAGTTAGTATTGTTATGATTATTATTATAGTATCTACAAAAGCTCTGAGAAAATTATCCAGCATCCACCACTATTTACTGATCATATTACTTTAGGTATAAATCTATTAATGAATGTTTGAAGTTAGTCATCATATAAATAGCATGCGAAACTGCTCTCGATTCACCTTTTATTATAAGAATTAAGAGCATTTACAACCATCACATATAAAACTAAAGATTCTGTTACATTATAGAAACTTTTCTAGTCGTTTTATTTATTTATGCTTATCACAAATCTAACAGTGTAGAGAATGTTTGCTTCATTCGTTATTGATTCTTGACGACAGAAATGTTTATCCAATGAATTGAAACCTCTTGATTAATGAAGTCGTTTTATCTTAATAACACAACTAAGACAATGAATTTGATTTTTAATTAATTAGTTTTTACATTTGTTAATTTCCTTCAATAAGAATTAAAACTAGTTGTTCAATTTTTCGTTTTACTTCTTAGTCATGGTTTTGAATATACCAAACAAATAAGAAAATTGGATCGTATTTGGTAGGTTGATTCACTTCCCTTTGTCTTTATGATCTTAAAATGTATAATTCCTGTAAGAGAATAAAGTGTTAGTAGAATGATTCATTATATTGACAAAATTTCTGATTCATTATACAATATTCAGTTCTAAAACAGGGTTCTCTTACCGCTTTGTCTACTACCCGCTTCAGCATCTTCAATCCCATGCTCTGCGTTACGTGTATCTACATTACTACTAACTTGATTATTAGGTTCTATTGATGAATTCACTAAATTAGATGTATTATTATTACTGATCATTTCTGGTGTAACTAGTATTTGTGCGTTCATTGGCAAACCGATACTTGATGCACTTGCTGATATACCATAAAATCCAGTATTTCTATCATGAAAACATGCATAAATTGGACTAGCCGGTACACCAACTTGTTGTGAACCATTCACATCAGTATGAAGGAAACCATCATCAGTCGAGCCAAGCATGGTCATTTGTGCGTGAATATTTGATGAAGTTGGATTATGTGATGTATTTGTTAATCGGGTATTAGTTCCATTCATTGGTATACCATAATTTGTTGACGTTGTTATTTGTCGTATTTGACTATTAAACATTGAATTCTGTATCATATCATTAACTGGTTGATAATTTATAGGAGGAATAAAAGTTATTGGTTGGAATCCAGTTGTCAGTACACCTGGTGATGATACAGTTTGAAGTGGAAGATTCACCTTAAAAATATCAAACAAACAAATAGATAAATAAAACATCTAAATACGAAGATTACGACGAATGTAAATATAGCTTACTGTTAAATTTTTTAGTTATAGTATGGACTTTTGGTTAAGAATATTTCTGCTTTCAAATAACAAACGAATTCTAGTTAATATCTGAAGCAAAAATAAGTCAAATAACATTTACTATAGTTATAAGCAGAGTTGGATGGTGACAGGCAATGGAAACCAGGACGCGCATTCGTCCTATATGTGACTTAATGGCAACATCGAGGTAATTCAAAGGATGTACATATGTCAATAAGATATGCCAATCGATTGCAGTCGTAAAATTCAATGGGGTAATTCAAAAACTAATAAAAATAAGTTTACTGTAGTTGTTTTAGTTCAGTGTGGAACACTGAGTGTCTGTTTATCTTTAACTTCAACCAAACAATTGATACTATCAATATTTGAATATGGTAGATTAGTGACTCGTTTAAGCCTCTTTTTGCAGATTATGAATTAATTCACTCCAATAGATTACATTTTCATGCACATTTTCAGTGTTTCAAGAATTTTGTTAGTGTCAAAGGCTTGTTTATATTACTTGTTATGAAAAATTATATCGACCAAATGATTCTTTATTTATAGAGTTGAGATCATGAGTCAATTGAAGCTAGACTACCATGGAAAACCTGGAAGCACTGGACGGCCGTTTCGTCCTATTATGGGACTCCTCAGCAGTGCGCGTCCACGAACCCACTCTCGCGGGATTCGAACCCAGGACCTACCAGTTTCGAGCCGAAGCCCTTAACCGATATACCACTGAGCTGGCATCCAACGGTGTTAATGTCTAACTTCAACTGATTCACGAAATTGAGCAACCATTCACCAATGTCATCAGTGAGTTCCTATCTCACAACAGACCTGGTTGAACTCCACCGGTTACTGCTTTATTTCTTCAATGATTGCAAAAACAAATACAAAACTGAAGAAATTAAAACTTAAGACTTTCATTTCATCTAATAAAATTATAAGGAGAAAATCATGAGTACACAGGAAAATTAAAATTATAGTGAAGTGAATACTTAGATTTACATATGAAGTGTATTTTGGTGGCTATACCTTGTAGAATTTTATAAAAAACTATTTTGGAACTCCACAACTGTATAGAAAACGTGAATCACTAGAAATTAAATTCATGGATTAATTCTATGTGTGGTCTATGCTGCTGATACCGACAGATATACGTACTATGTATCACCAATCGAAAGTGAGATGCCTGGTGGTATAAGGTTAAGAAAATCGAAGAGAAGGGAATAAGAACAGAGAATAATTGGTATGGAAAAGAAGGAACAATCAAACTTTGGACGATTGATTGACTTTTTTCTAAATGAAGTATTTACTGTATGGTTATCAGATTTTAGTAAGAAATTCTGAAATCGCATGTTCACAGACATTTGGCTGGCTGCGCCTGTGTTCTCGTTCACTACATATGTATTGAGATTATCATTCTGTGGCTTCTAATTTCACAAAGTTTTTCCGTTTCGTGGGATTCAAACAAAGTGAGATAGTTGCATATATCATTTTCTCGTTCTTTTTAATTTATCTAATGAGCTGCTTGTGAAGTGGTTGGTTATTGATCTACTGCAAATCAAAGTATAAAAGTTTAATATAGATTTCTTAAAAAGCCATAGATAACTGAACTATCAACCTAGTTAAAACTATTGGAGATTCTAATTTAATTAATGAAGTTCAGTATTGTTACAAATATGTATAATCAGTAGATACTAATCAATTCTCAAAAGGTTAATTATAACATTCAGACCCCTGGATAACGAAATAATTCAAGAATTTGATTAACGTCATGCGACCTGCTAACTGTTGTGTAAAGTTACCTTCATCACTTTTCTTCATTCAACATAATAGAGCCCTCATAAACTTATCATAAACATTGACTGAAACACATACTGACTGTATTTTGATATGTACATAAGTGTTTAGTTATAAAACTAAATGATTTTAATTGATAGTATATTTCAAGTTATCATGATACAACTAAGTCTAAATTTATCAGCAGAGATGATGGTGGCTGGTAGCGGAATCCAGGGCGCGCGTTTCATCAGATTTGAGAATGTCAGCTGGATGTAAAATGCTCACTATTGGATTCTGCTGATAGCTACCACCATCTCTGCTTATAAGCCTTGTGACTTAACGCAATATTGAGGACGTTCGCACAGGATGCACATATACCAATAAAAGACTGATCAATTTTAGTCCTAAACGTCCATGGAAGAATTCAAACAACCAGTACAAAAATGAATTAAGTCTGTTTATTGTTATTTTAAATATCATATGATGTGCAGGGAAAATTATGTTAACACATTGAGACAGTGAATGGTAATTGCCTTATATTGTAATTTGAAATGCAAGGAATGATCTCCTTTGTTTTGTGTGTTACAAATCCCAAAAAACAAACAACCATTGTAATTACTTGATTTACATCGTTCATTTTCATTCAGCTGCCACAACATACGCGGTGGCTCGATGTGAATTACGTTGCCGATATTTTCGGTTGTTTGGTTGTCTCCAGAAGTGACGATTTTATTGTTGTCATTACCTATAAATATTTTGAATCATTGTATATGCCGAATAATGGACGAGTTCTACAAAGACTGGATATTTCCTTGGAGTTTATAACAATTGTATGAAATTCTCCATTTTTATCAGGAACGACAATAAAAGCTTTTTCGACTCCATTTACTTTTTATTATGCAATGTACTCACAATTGTTTGTTATTTCGATGTTAATTGGAATGATTTGAAGCCACCTATTTTTTATCATTGATAGTCCTAATGGATAATGGTTTTATATTTTTGTCATTGAAAGGTTTGGACGTTGGAAAATGATCATCTGTGTAGTATGCTACTTAAATATGGTTGTAAATAGTATAAAAATTAATATAAAAACAGAGACATTTATAGGGATCATTGGACCTCGATGTATATACGTATTTGTACTTTTAACAATCACCTTACTATGATTTAGAAGAGGAAATTAGTTTATATTTCTAATGAAAACCAGTTCAGTTACCTTTTGATCGTCATATATTAATACGTATCTAGATTGGTATCATGAATGGATAGATGCTCGACCATCATTGAAAACCTAGAAGTACTGGACGGCCAGTTCGTCCTAGTATGGAACTCCTCAGCAGTGCACATTCACGATCCTACACGTGGGACTCGAGATCAAGATCTTTGGTCTTGCGTGCGGACACTTAACTTCTAAACCACTGAGCCGATATCCAACGGTGTTAATGTTTAAATTCAACCAATCCACGATATTGCGCGACAGTCCATCATTGTCTTCACCGAGTAACTTCCTCGCTACAGGCATGTTTGTACTTCACTGATCAAGGTATCTCACTAGAACTACGGGAAATCTATCTCAAAGCTAGTCAGTATTGAGTCACGCGTGAGCGATCGTGGATAGGCACTGCTGAAGAATCCTATACTAGGACGAAACGGTCGTCTAGCGCTTCCAGGTTTTCAATGGTCGTCTAACGTTGATCTATTCATGATATCAATTTAAACTCAATGATATACACAACCCTATACTGATAATATATATCTATTTAACTAGCTAGCGATCACCAACAAATGCATTTCAGTAATATGTTAACCAATTCAACCACTTAAACCTCTTAAATCAATGATGATATCAGATAGATTGTTTAGATTGAATGAAATGGTAGTCTAAAATTGCTAGTGAACATTAATTAATCTGCCTACACAGACGTACAACATAGAATAGGCTATTTATACACATCGACAACTTGTACCAGTCATAAAAAACTATTTCTGAATACAGATTAAAGATATTAAAAACAGAAATAAGTAAATATTCTAATCTGGCTTATTATTTACAAGCCTATCCGTCTGCACATTATTATTATTGGCGTACGAGCGCGCATATGCGTATATGTTGTTTATTTAAACAGCTAGTTAGATGAAAAAGCTTATGTTCTTTATATTATTATTATTATTATTATTATCAATATTTTGAATTGGTGTCGACAAAAACACAACAAATAAATTGATGATATATGTTTTATTTGATTCCCAGTGTTGTTGTTTTTTTCTTCCCCTAACAATATTCTCTTATGATAGTACACTTAAGAGTTTTAATGTACTAAAAAGCATCGATCCCATATTCCTGTGAATCACATTTCGGCTCTTTTATTATCCTAAAAAAATTTGTAAACCTATCTGAATATATGTAACATTTTGTAACATTTGATATTATTCGAAGAGAAGTATTTATATCATCAAACAACACAATGAGTTATGTAACAAAATATGCTGGTTAAAAAAACCTGTTAATAGTTATAGATTTATATCCTATTCATTTGTGGGACTGAAAAAGATAATAGAAAAACTGAGTACACCTTCAATTGTCTAACACCATCTATTTCGAAAATAATGAACATAAATTATTTATTAAACGTGCTTCCTGGAATAGGATTTTCGGCATTTTTTTGAAAAAAGTTTCCTTCATTAGTCCAATCGGAATCAGTAAGTGTTAACTTAGAGTAAATTATGTATTGTTCATGCATTGAGATATAAAAGATAAACACTATTTTTGTACAACTTATGTGATAATGATGGAATTGAACTTTAAAAAAACGTTCATCTAATTATTTAACTGGTGAGAATATACTGAAAACAATACTGACAGGAATGATGAGTAGGGTAGAAAATTTTCAAAAGGATTTGAACTAACAATATCTCATCTTCTTCCTATGTTTGTCAGCTATTTAAAGGTTTCTGAGACAGTAGAATCATTAAAAATAAGGAAATTCAGTTGAAACTATAACTTCTAAAATAAATTATATCTAAAAAGGTAAATAGAATGAAGTAATATGTCTTTTCTTTCTTTCAGTCTAGTTGCCAATTACCTCAAATGACCTGCCAGTCAAGCAGTTCATAAGTTCTAACAAGTCAGCCAGGTTAGCAGTCATACTAAAACCTGGTAAGTAGAATTCAGCTAACATTAAGAACTAAATAGACATGACACTGATTTTCACTCGGTATTATATGAAGTCCTCATATGTTTGGTTGGATACATGGAGGTTGTTGTTATCCGTTGCCCTCTAAATTCTTATGATTTTTTAAGTGGTATGGACTACTTCTAACAACCGCTTTAGATTACTCACGTCATGAAAGCTCCTAATGTATTATGTTTTATTGGTATTAATCAGCTGGCCATTCAGTTTATGGACTTCCCTATTGGTCACTAAAAATATGATCAAAGACAATTTCAAGAAGTCTATAAATGGACAATTAATGTAATAACCTAAAACATTTTTAACTGAAAGTTTTTGTGATATATTTAATTCAAACTCCATAGTTCTTACACATATACAGTATACATCTCAGTCAATATTTTGGATAAAAGCTGACTACTCTAAGTCCTGGTTCGCTATTTCAGGAATAAAAATATTTTCTTCCCATCGTTTACGGTCTAAAATAAGCGGAGATGAACATAATAAAAGCTTTCCAAAGAATCCGAGGATCACTTGACAAGCATTAAATTTTAGTGGTAAGATAACATTTCCTCAGTTGATCAATTTACAGCAGATGTTTGACCAATTGTAGTGAATGAGAATGTATATATATATACTTCCATATTTCAATGAAATTCGCTTCAGGGTATTTGTCAATTACGCAATTCACATTGCAATTATTAATTTGATTGGTTTTTATTAAATATGAAACACCTACCCGTTTTCAGCACATGGTGTTTAATCATACCACTTAGAAAGGCACTTAACTGCATCGTAAGACAGTTGAAGTTGTCTATCAGTGAGCTGAGAAGTCATAAGAATGTCTAAGCTTAGTTTTTCAGGCAGATCATGATGATTGTAGTTTTGATTTGGATTGTCCCTTATTCATTTAAACAAACCATCTGTATTACAACTAGATGGTTTTTCATTAAATTACCACCTTCAAAACTTTAGTGAAAAGAATTTTCTCACATTAATTTGGTAACTGTTTATAATACATTTATCATTCAACTCTGCTAGATTTCGAAGTAGATTACCATTTTAATATGTTCACTAATTTTAGTCCAGCAAATTGAAATGTACGAATGTTTAGCAGTTTCTATATCTCATTGTTCTCTGTTCATTTGAAATCGAACAGTTAACGTTCTTTCTGGGTTATATTCTAAAGACTGTTAAGTATAATTTTTGAGCTGAGACTAAAAAAACAACACATTTTCAAAAGTGGGATCGCGCACTTTCTGCTTGATCAAAGTCAAGGTCTTGATGTCTAAATTTCAACCAGCCAAATAAATAATTGCAATGTGAACTACGTAGCTGACATATACCCTGGAGCGAATTTCATTGAAATATGAAAGTATATATATATATATATATATACATATATATATATATATATATATATATATATCAGACTGGTTACCGGCCAGAACAACTGAAAAGGGTGTTATTAATTACTTAATATAATTCACTGTAAACTTTCTTGAATATACCTATTAATGTGTTAATGATTGAAAAAGCAATTTTTTTCTGTTAAAATCACAAATAACAGAATATTTCGAAACTAAACGTCATTAAAATCTAATTAACCAAATCGAATATGATTGAATGAGATTTACCAGAAAATAGAAAATAGAATTTCTTTTCTCTTTTGTAAAACTGCTGTATATTGAATGAATATATAAGTATATGTACATGTATAGTAAGAGGTGAATGTGGCTCACATGTGTCCTCACATGGATGTACTGTCACAAATCATGGTTTAATGACAATCGACTTATTGAATATACCAACAAAGCTACCAAACTGATACATTATAATTGACAGTATTGCCTACCATATGTTTTCAATGATCAACAAACAAAATCAGTCATATACATACAAAAAAATACTGTCAAATAATTTTTATTCATTATCATTCTGACCAGTGACTTTATTTGTAAATAAAGTTTATTAGATTATTTTACGAGATAGACAGCTGACCTTTGCCATCAAATTACTTGTCTACTAAATTTTATGTTTACTTGTATTGATACAGTTTCCAGTTTGTATTATTTCATTTTTCTTTACTATAATCTTAATCCACTAGTTATATATTTTCTTACTGTCATTTTACTCGTTTTAGAATCTTTGTCTGTAAACGGAAATCAATGCAAAACTTATTTTCATAGTGACTAATTTCAAAGATGTGTTTTGGTGAATAAATTCTCCCTATACAGCGTGTGAAAATTAAAATATAAAGGGTTTACCGGAAAGTATATCTTTCTTTTGCCCCCGCAAAGCATTTATATATTTACGTGTACGGTTGTAAAATGGAGTAATGTATGTTCTCAAAATAAAGATAACTAATATATATATACGCATATTTTATGTATGCATAATTGTAATTGTCATTTATGTTTCCCTCATCGGTTTTTTAAAACAATCACTAACATCGTATGAGGAAGTCGACGCCCATTTGAAGATATTAAACAAAAACTGCCTACTATCTAGTTTTTTACTTTCAAAACATAACTAAAATTACTTCTTTCAAGTAGCATATATTGTTATTATTTATTATTACGAAATATTTGTTGTTGTGAAAATGTGAGAGTTAGCAAAAGTGAAAATTTTAAGACTTCCTATATGGTAAGGAAGAAGAGAGAAATTACTTAAATTTTAGTCTAGTCTATATTAACCAACTCTGCATTAATTACAAATGGATTACTAGTCCAAATATTATAAATTATTGACTGTGCTATTTATATTTAGAACAAATTTATAATTACTTATTTATGGTAGATGGCTTACGCTCCTCCGCGAGGGGTAACAGGCATTAGTAATTAAGTAATTACGGTCACTGCTACTTAGCAGTTGGATGACAAAGCCTTATTAAGTGTGAAATTAAATGAAATATTAGGGGATGAGTTTCACTTTATTTCACCTGATAGTGAATATTGCCTTTAAATATTCAGTTTTATTTGATCAAAATAGTTGCAGAATTTAGTTATTTAGTTATTTCCAAGATAAATACTTATAGCTTCTACTTCAATTCTACACATTTCGAAGTATCATCGATTTAGTTTGGCTATTATAAGCTCTTTTGAGTTTATTTTGATCTATATTTTCGGTTCATGTTATAAATTTCATGAATTTATCTAGCAGAAATAATCACAATTAAAGTCAGTCAGTCACAACGTAGAACTTCGTTTGTACGTGCATCAGTTCGAGTTTCCACACTACATTAGTACAGAGATGCAGTTGTCGATTCAAATCCCATAGTGGTAGAGGTACTAAAAGTATAAGCAGTAATCCGAAAGATTAGGGTTTGAAGATGTTATTGAAGGAGTATAATGCAGTGAAATAAATTTGGAAAGAGAAAAAAAGAAAGGTGCATGAAGAATTCAGAAGATTAAAATTTGGGAGCACACAAAGAGTGAATGCACCTTCACAATTAAAGATTGTAATTTCATTATTCTAATTCCATTCTTATCATATTTAATATATAGTTTTTAGAGCGTTCTTGATTGATTCTTGAGTTTCAATCGAAATAATTATCAAATTTTAAAGTTCCAATGCATCATCTTCACACAGTTTTAATGTCACCGAATGCATCTAATAAAAAAATTTCCTTTCAATTACAAGATCATTTTCACCCATTTAGTTTAGCAGTTACATTCCAATAACGATTGGCAAAATTCAATTAGCACTGAAGATTAAATAGTATGACACTGGCAATACTTCGGTAACTTAATATTATGATTATGTAAGATGAAAATTAAACTTATGATATCCTTATTAGACATCTGAAGACTGATTTTAGTTAAAATACCTTCAATCAATTCATTATTAACGTCGTTCATTTATTGAGATTAACAGTTTAACAAATCCATCCGAATATTATTCTAATAGATTCACGTCTTATGTGATTTATCTAGGTATATGACATATTGAATAAGAATTATACTAACTAATAATATCTCCGAATGTCTAGTAATGCGATATATATATATATATATATATATATATATATATATATGTAACAAGAAAAAAAACTAAGTAACAGTACAATCAGTTATCGAACTTACCTGAAATTTCCAAGCTGGTTTTAATGTAAATGCAAACCAAGCAATAAACCAAGCGAACATAACAATAATTCCTGAGATTACACTGAACAATAAAATGGAATGTCTAGTTATCCTGTATACCAATATGCAATCCCACATAATTGGAATTTTACAAGCAAGTACAATTAAACTGCCAATCAATGCACATATATGCGGTGTGTATGAATATAGGTAACATCGACACCCATTATGTAACATTTCTGCTCCGTAACTATAACCACGAGTTTTATGGGTTGTCCAGCCATTTGCATCAGTACTAGTACCTAAACAGTGACTGGATTTTCCACCACTCATTTGACCTGAATGTACTGATTCTGTCACTGTATGATTGAATAAATTACCTGAAGATAAACCATTGGCATTCATTCCACAATTACTGCGTCTTTCCATCAATTCACCATTAGAAATAAGACCACCTCCATTGACCAATGGATAACCGTTTCCGTTACATGATCCAATAAGATAATGTCTATAAGCTGCAAGATTTTCTGTGAATTGATGATAACCGTATTCAAACATTGCTATGAAAAGACTAAGAAATAATATAGTTCCAGAGAATGAAAGTGCTAATGGTCCGATAATATTTAGAGTAAAACTTGACTCCACAGTTAATACATCAAATGGGTCTGATTTATCACTTTCCGTTGATTCACTTGTTTGAACTGTTTTCTTCTCAATACTTAAATCGCCTGCTGGCGGATTCGGTAATGTAAGAAGTTTTAATTCACTCGGCCAAATTTCACTTGGAAGTAGAAATTGATTCCAGCCAAGTCGTACAAGTATAGATGTTGCACAACATTCTAATAAAGCATTCACACCTGTCAATAATAGTAGTAAGGAGAAAACAAACGAAAATCCACGATTGGTATACCAAAACACGCTTGGATAACGTAAGCTAAGAATTAAAAACGCTATAGCTAAATTGAAGAATTCCGGTGATATTGCTCTTAAATCATCCCAGGTTGACTTATCATCATGAAGTAATTGTTGTGAATCTTTTAGATTTGATTGCAATTCTAACTTGGTAGATGATAAGAGATTCAAAGTTTTTCCTGACGAAGGTGGTAATAGTTGATTTGATGGTTGTACAAATACATTACGTAAACCAAACAAGACATCCAAATCTGAACGCCAAATCCGATCTGTAGTTGTAATTAAAAAAAGTCAAGAAAAACTTCTTAGTTGATATTTTAATGAATATAAAAATAATATAGATGTTTAATTACATGAAAAAACTTGTATTTGGTTTGACTGCTGAAAAACAATACAGATTGTCAACAGTTTCTTCAAGGATGCAACACACTCTCGAATTTTACAGAAAGATTGCGGATCACGTCTTCAAGTTGCTACTGACTTTATTTAATAATAAATTATACAATGAATTTATAGCCATACACTAACCAAGTTTTTAATTATAATGTTTGTGACGAATCTATCAGCCGAAAGAATATAAGACATTACGGTTGTTATGCAAAACTATTCTAGGTAGTTGTACCGCAACAGCGAAATTGATACACGAATTACTTACACCAACAACTTCGTTCCGTTTTCATGTATTCGGCTGGTCAGGTAGATTAAGTTTTTCAATTTTGTATGAGTTCATGATTTTGTGCTCGGAATAGTTAAAAATGAAATATTCGATCATACCCTGTTCAACCCCAATGGACGAATAATGAAATATTAAATAGTCATTTTTAGTCATTTACAGTGTTAATCGGAATTTACAATAGGTATCAAGGCCCCCAATTTTTTAAACAATAAAAGGAATGTTCGTTCAAATGTAGAATCAGGTTCAAACTCTGTTTTTCTGCTTCGGTTAGAAGAAGGTTTATCGTTAAACAATCATCTCAATTCCAAGATGACTCATTAAACGTGATTTAAGTAACATACTTCATCTCCATGATTATGAAAAACATACTTAGCTCTCTCCTTATTATCGCTGGCTCTTATACTATGTTATTTCATATATTTGTGAAACTACATATGTCATAATAACTAATTATACAGTAGCGTTTCTTATCCTTTATCATCTATCTATTGTGCAAATACTAATTTTAGATCAGAAAGGGTTTTGTGGAGATTTCGGTATTTTCATAGTTGAAATCATTAGTCAGTTGAAGCTAGACCACCATGGAAAACCTGGAAGCACTGGATGGCCGTTTCGTGGATGCGCACTGCTGAAGTGTCCCACAATAGGACGAAACAACTGTCCAGTGCTTCCAGGTTTTCCATGGTGGTCTAGCCTCAATTGACTCACGATCTCAATTATATAAAATTACTAAAATCTCCACAAAACCCCCTTCTGATAATAAATTAATTGGTTAATTTGCTAGCTACTAGTTTTTACAATCGGTATAAGTCATAATTCATTTATAAGAGTTTGAATCCAAGATTTATAAGAAATATAAAATCTATTCAGTCTGTGAATCTATTCGATTACTAATACTTAATTGTTATCCATTTTGATGCATCTTTACAAAATGTTACACAAATTTTTTAGACTTCATATTGTGGGAATTCATTTCTAAAATTTCTTAGGGTCAGTGTCTACATCCAACATAAACACTAAGTTACCTATGACCTAAGCGTAATATTTATAATGAATCTGTATTGACATTTTACAAACAAAATTAACATTCATTTATAAATGGATGAGTAATGACATATGCTAATAAATTTAGTTGGTTTACTCAAAAACACATTTACTACGCCCTGAATTATAATACTGACAAATCTATTTGAATGGGGAAAAAATTAGATTTAAAAAAAAATGAAGTCATTCATAGCCATCACCAATTCACTATCAAAACATATAAATGAGTCATTATAGAATTAATTAAAAAATATATATACATGTATTAGGTTTAATATTGATTTTCTTTACTTATACTAACTCATGACTAAACATTGTTTTGTACATTAGTATACATGTATATAAGCTAGTCATTTAACGATGATTACAAGGGAAGTAATGTCAGATATGATTCAGAAATCGGCTTTTATTTTAAAATGATTGTGCATTCTTTAATATTGATATTAGTTCTAGAAGTTCCATAGAATATGCTCATGCGTACACGTGTATACAGATTAGGAAAATAAAAATAACAATCTAAAATGTATGGGAGCATATCTATCGTATCATAAATCTAACGTGTTCACATGATTAAACATTTTCGTTTTGAAATTTATTGATAAATTGTTTGTTTGTTTGTTTTTTGCATACATGTGAGTGTGTGCTTAGTTAAAGAAAATAGACAAAATATGTCGGAAACAAACAATTGGCTAAGAAAAAAAATAAAGGAAAATGTCACGCAAATCATTGTCTATAAAAGTAATCTATAAACAATCATAAGGGAAGTTGAATTTTAAAAAAATCGGTTTATTATTTTTATTTAAATTAGACTAAGATCTCATTTTCAAAATATGTATTATTCACAGAAAGTACGTTGTAAAAATGATATCGTTGGTGAAAATAAAAGGCATTGATTAATAAAGACACTATCAAATGTTATATAAATGAGATCGTGAGTCAATTGAAGCTAGACCAAAATGGAAAACCTTGAAGCACTGGACGGCCATTTCGTCCTATTGTTGGACTTCTCAACTAAAATCTCCACAAAACCACCTTCTGATAACTATCAAATATGTTTATCTGTGTAGGAAATAATTAGGTAAAGGATAAAATGTGAAATATTCAGTGTTTTCTATCGATTTAGTTTTGGGGTATGATTATATTCAAAGTTTATAATTAATTTATGTATCAAAAAAAACGCAATAAATGACTGACATGTTTATCAATATTCTATAAGAGTAATGTTATTTTGAAAGTGAGATGTTTACTCATCAAATGCGAGTAGTATGTTTTCAGTTATACTTTACATTATAATTGTTTGATGAAGTTGATTTAAACAAATGATGATAAATCTGAATGCATAAGAACGATATTGGACACTTAGCATTACATTTAAATATTTTAGCTTTTAGTGATCTGTCAAAATCCCTTTAGGAAATCATAGTCAAATCGAATTGCATTACAGAACAGGGGGTGGTTAATTAAGTTTGACAAGCAAACTGTTATTATGTCTGTATTATCCATCAAGATTACTTTAGATGTGTACTTTTTTAATGTTACTGAGCTATGATATTTGCCTGCTCACTTTCATCTTAAAGATATGTACTTAAGACATTATTCGGTTAAGTGGACTAGTTGAAGTTAGACTTGTACATCAATGTATCCCGGCTTTAGTGATCTTGAGGCTAAACATTGTACTAAAGACCATAGGTTCCGAGTTCAATTTCTGGTTGCGAGTTTGTGGACACGTACTGATGAAAAGTCTCATGTTATGAAGAAACGACTGTCCAGTGCTCTCAACTTTTCAATATTTGTGTAACTAAGATCGCTTTGTTATTTCAATGAAAATCTAATTAAGCATTTGAAAAAAAGTGTGTTTAATTGTAAGAAACGTTTAACGACAAATATAAAATCAAACCCACAACAACTGAAAACAAGGAAGAACAAGTTTTGAATTTTTAGCAGTCCACATTCACATTAACTTATAGGTGTTGTTTCTATGTTTAAATTCGGATGAAAATATCTATGACTGAATATCAACATCGTCATATATTTATTTTAATCATCTTTACAAATGCAATAAATCGATATAAATGTATTATGTTGCTCAAAATCAAAAATACAAATCAAGTAAATACTTGTTAGAGACACAAAAGTTTGGATTTCGTTGTAATATGCTTTTCTTTTTGAGAAAGGGAAACTTGAATTTTTCGAAAAAAAACACTAATTTATATAAAGAACTGTCTCAATCCAACATTTAGCTACTGTCATTTTGAATCAATGGGGTTAACTACGAAGTAAGTTAATTAAAAAATCCGGTAATCATAAGTCCGATCTATTAAAAAGCATTAATTTGAATTTCTTAGGTACCCTTGACTATAATGCGATAGATATAACGTTAATTTCTGAAGGAAACCATTTTCCCAATGGTAAATGATTCAAAAATCACAACGATAAATAAATAAACTATATTTAATGGTTGTTGCCTAAAATAGTATCAGAATGAACCAAAAATACATATGATTATACACTTAAAATGGATGTCCCAAATAAAGACTTTTGATCACAATGATATAATGTAGAATAGAGGCTAAATCTTATTATGTCTAATTAAGATTGGGGCTTACAAAAATTGATTCTATTCAGAATCTTAATCTAGTGTTTAAAGTCTAACAGCAATTAGATCCAAATAAAAATAGTTATTCCTCATCAATCTAATGATAGTATACGCAGTTCATAAAATAGAAAATAATAACTGGTCATAACTTTCATAGACAATGAGTTCTCTTAAATTACCTCAAAAGGAGAAAATAAATATTTACAACATCATTGTTCGGTGCATTGAAACTAAAAACTGTATAGTAAACCCTTGTAGACGAGGAATAATAAAAAACTGAAGTATTACTCTGTAAATTTCTTAATTTATATACAGTTAGGTACTAAAATTAGATTGTACAATAATAATCACTGCTTATCATTATGACTTTTCGTTATGAACTTGTATGAGGCAGGATAAATCAAATGCAAAATGTTCCCGACATCTGCAGGGAAATACTACACAGAGTTCCATTGTAAAACCATGATTTCTGGTGTGAGAAAGATTATAAGTGAGAAACATTTATAAGCAGTAACATCGGGAAATCGTAATTTTGTTTCCTGAATTGACAGTAGACATGTTTAGTAATGAGACAAGCAACTGTGTTGAGATATTTACTGATTTTGAATTCCATTCTATAGCGATCCAACAATTAGAACCTGCTGATAGACAGAAACAACATAAGTCATCTTTAAAGATATCATATTTCAGTCTACACAATGTCACAGGACCAGTACGAAAATCAACGGTAATAAAATTAAACTCATGGGCACAGTGAGTAAAAATTACAGATTGTTATTTGTAATAATACGAAAAATAAATTAATCACAAATAACTGAATGATTGAACTATTTTCAAGTTATGAAACATACTGTAGACTAAAGATCAGAGAAAGAACTCTAAGATGAGAGGTTTTGATGTGACTTCACAATTAAGTAAATGTTATAAGCAAAGATGGACAGTGGCTAGCAGTG